AGGGGAAAGTGTTTTGGGGTTCTAGTAAGAATAATTGTAATAGATGGATTACTTGGGCAGAACTGAAGCAAAAGTCTGTTAGGGAAGCAAGGAAGAAGCCGGGGTCTGTGAGCACTTTCAAGGCAACTTTAATTATGCAAACCTTTAGTCACATAGTTGCTAAAAAAGGGAATATATACCAGCTGAGAGACTCCTCCAAGCCCCCCGCTTGCAGCATAACTCATCAAATTCCTGTTTCTGAAAGGTGAAAAGGACACTCAGCAAACCCAGGTCTCCATTGTGCTAAGTTAAAGGAAGATTCCACTTTGTCAAAACAACAGCAGCAACTACCACCAGAATAACAATAAAATGAACAGTTTCAGCTTGATTTCCATTTTTAAAAAGACGGCTGTAATAACTTCTGGACTGGTTCTCCAATCTCCGTTAGAACATATTTCAAAGCAGGCAAAGGTTTTTTTTTTATTTTAAATCTTATGGCTTCCTATAAGAGGGACACAATTTTCTTCCAGTTTTGAAGCTTTCAATACCTTGTCTTAATGAAAACCATTCAAAAGTGCTTTAAAAACGAACAGGAATAATTCAGGCTAAACAAGCAATCTATCCTGATAATGTAACAGGAGAGAATGTTCAGGAGTAATAAATACATAGTTCTTTTCAATATCTTAAATATATCTTTTTCTTCCCCCTCCATTTGGCATAAGGAGTGCCAAATGCAGAGTGCAAGGGGCTGATTTTCATTTACAAACACAAAATTTTCCTTCAAGAAGTGTGTTTTCTTAATCACTGATAATAAAAGGCATCTGTGCCCGTTTCATCTTGCAATTAAAGAGTGAGAAATTACGACACACGCACACGCACACACACACACACACACACACACACTTCTCTCGTATGTTAAAATCCTATTAGAATAATCATCGGGCGCCTACAAAATTTAGCCACAAGCAGATATTTTATTTTAAAAAAATCTTTCCATGGACATCTTATACTATTAAACTTAAAAGATTTCAACCGACGGGGGTGGGGATTGCCCAGAGTACATATATTAGTCAATAAGGAACAGAGAGCTTTAATGTGTTTTGGCTATTGCAAGCCAAGTTCCTATTAATTATAGGTTGCTTAACTTTTCCACACATAATTTACCTTTATTAAATGTAAAATATATTTTATATTATGATTATACCAGTGTCAGGCTAGCTGATGATTCTCTTTTTCTGCATTATGTGATGACAATAATTGCTATTACAAAACTTAACATATTTTTGGTGAGGATGATACCTAAAATACAAACATCTCAGAAACACCTTTGAGCGTAATGCTAGGAGGTATAAAATGAAACATTTTAAGATTGTTCCATTAAACCCCATATAATTCCTTCTGCTCACCTGAATTCGATTGAGGTCAGTAGAGCTTTTGTTTTCTATTTTACATAAAACCAAATACCCCAATCTAACCACGATTTATACCCACTAACACAAATTTGAACTTCGTATGGTTAGATTTTACTAATCAAAAAGTACTCAAAATCTGGTGAGTCAATCCAGTTCTTACTTGAAGCTCTATAATATATAAAATTTGAGCAGAAATATCAGTTTGCAAAGAAACGTACTTTTTTTTCCTTCAAGATTCATGGTGAGTTCATGAACGATTTGTATCTGAAAACACTCTTAAATTCTTCCTGCACTTTCCTGAAAGAACCAGTAAGGTACAGAGCATAGAAACAGCAAGGAAAATCCATCCCAGAAAACATGATTTTAATTTTAAAAGTCAAATCTGTGAACTAAACAAACCTTTAGTTTCAGTTTACTTTAATCAAAGGATAGAGACTGAAAAATTATTTAACTCCCAGCTGAACAGTTGACTTTTAAATTGGATAATGCAAGAAAAGAAGATTTTGGCTCTGCCACATTTTAAGACTTAATTAAATTAATATCAAAATAGAAAGTACAGCATTTTGCTTATTTTCATCATTATTAACTTTGTGACCACTCAACTTACAGAGTGTGATGTGTAAAAGGAAAAACTCAGCCGTCTATCTGTGAGGATTATACCTGCCATAATCATAGTAAGATTACCCCTGGAAAAGTATAACACTTCTCCACTTCCCACCCCCTTATTTTTATAATATAAATGTTCTTGCAGATAACACAATCACTTTAAAAAACACAAATTCTTCTACAAAAAAAAAAAAAGTTAATTTGGTAGATGCCAGTGCTCATTTATCATGGATATAATTCAAGTGCAGTAATTGCAATTAACCAAAATAATTAAGGGTTGTACTGCAATTTCAAGAAAGCCAACCGCGTTGAAATGTGTGTGTGACTCAAAGATTGGTGATACTCAGCTTTCAAAAGCCACCGGCTTGTACATCTCCCTGAAGCAGCCACATCTACAGAATCAGTATCATTTGTGGCAGTAACATAAAATACGGATCACAGGACAAACGTTGCCCATATGGCTTTACAGAACAGAATATGATTGCTCTGATCTCTTGTATGGTTGCCCAAACTAAGGATCGGGGACAGCAGGATGGATCAGCCCTAGCAACAAACCATACTTTACATGCAAGACACAGCCCTTCTTTTGTTCAAACCATGTCAAGGCATGGTCCCTGCTGGGGACCTAATCTACAACAACTTTGCGACCTCCTGCTTCTACAGCTTAATTATTTAGGATCAAATAGACAGCTAGGTACATTAACATGACCCTAGAAGCCAAACCCGTTCCTCTCTTCAAATATTCAATTGACCTTCCAGAGTAAATATTTCCCCCTGACCCCTCTACCACTCATTTTCTCTTAAATTGGTTGCTAATGCTTTGAAAAGTCTCCTGATATTTTGCAACAGCTTTAAAGTAAATAAACCCCTGACTGTATAATTTTAGCCTTATTGACTGGGGCACTGATAGAAACAGAAGCATGCAAGAGGTCCCACAGATTTGGCATTATGTTACTCACACCAACTTTTCTGGCTCAAAGATAAGTTAGAGATCTTTGCAGCAGGCTTACAAATCTGTAGCTTCTATGTTAGCAGAGAGCTTGCTTTGTTTTATGCCAAGAGGACTTATTTTGAAAGAATGAGGCAAGAGTGAGGGGAGAATATCAGCGCCCTAAGCAGAATAAGGGTTACTTTGAAGCATGAAAATATAGGTCACAGCTATTTCCATGGCATAAGTACCACTAGCTGTATCACTTACACCCAGATCATCTGGGGAAAACTACCAGCAACAAGAAGTGCTTAAGTGGACAGCAAACACATCTTGTCTTAACAAGGTACTTTGGGTTCCATTTACAGTCTGTTGAACTTAACATCACTCAACTGTATTGTTTGCCTTAAAAAAATAATGTAAATGAGCTAGAAGTTGAAAAGTTGCTTTGCCTATTTTTTTTTGTTGTTGTTGTTGTTTCTTTTTTTTTTTTTTTTTTACGTTTAGGTGGTAGGGCACAGAAAAGCAAGAATGAATAGTGAAAGCCAGCTGTATTACTTTAGTATGTCAGGAGAAAAAAAGAACATAATTAGGTTTACAGCATCAGTGGCTTATTCTAAAAGAATGCCTTTCTGAAGCAAACACAAACACACCCGTGTGAATCCATTCCATTTTCAATGAATTGAAATGGTGGTAATGGGGAGAGTAATGCATCCACTCCAGTTGTAAACAGACATTTTCCTACATGTGAGTACATAATCCCTGCTGACATTAATGGGAGTGACACACAAGCAGGGAGGAGAGAATAGCCCCTTTTGTTTGTTCTCACTCACATTACTCTAGAGTCCATTTTACAACTTCAGCTTCAAACTGGTGGAAAACACACCCTGTGCATTGATAATGGAAAAATGAGATTAACCAAGTGAGCAAACAGCCTTCCTTCTTTCTGTGATGTGGGAAGCTAAACAATGCAATGTAAAAGGATCTTGATTTTAGCTTTTCTTTTCATTCTTTCTTTTTTTTCCTGCATTACCCACTCTATTTAAGAACCTCTTCATGCTTGTAAAATTCCCTTTCTTAGTTCACGTGAAAGAGTAATAAAATCATTATAGTTTTCCTTCGCCAAAAGGTACTTTAGAGACTAATCTTAATTTAGATCCAGACACTGCTAAGTCAACTACATCAGTGTTGGGAAAACGAATTAGAAGAGAGGTCATTTTTCTTACTAATTTTTAAAAAAGGTGTTGCATATTGAAAAATGCCTTAGGAATCATTCCTTAATGCTATGGCTACATTACAAAGTCATAATTCTCCCACTCTGACATTTGGGATTTCCAGTGGCTTACTTTCGGAATCTACATTAGGAATTAATTTTTTACTTACTGGTTCATACCAAGGCTGAGATTCCCTTTACTGAAATGGAACAAACGATAAAATTTTCAAAATAACTATGTTCTAAAGATTCTCACCAGGTAGAGATGGCCCCAAATAACAACCTAGGTTTTTAAAAATATCCTTCAAAAAATATTTGCACATAGTCAACATTTATCTTCCTCATAGAAATAAGCAGTCTAGAATGAGTCCATCAAGGCATCCAATTCTTTGTGTGCTTTATTTACATCTTTTTCCCCCTAAATGAAGCAATATGTTTGTTTATATGTTTTGATCCTAAGGGGAAACTGACAAGATCTCAAACTAGAGACTACAGCCTTATTCATAGATGAAAAAGAAAATGAAACCCTCTTTCGATTACTAAAAATCTGTTATTGTGTGAACACAAAAATAATGGAACGTAATGAAGTGAAAATTCTTTTTTCGTATTACTTTTGAATCCATAAAAATCCATAATAGCTAAAAAGTTGAAATGCTAGTCAAATTTGGGAAACTGAAAGAAAACACGTCTTAAGGGCTGGGCACGTTACAATGAAAGATGAGATATTAAAACCAAGATACTGATCTGATTTGTTAACTAAATCCATTGAGATGGTTAGACCCAAGGATGCTTACTGGTGTTTTTATTCCCAAATAACCTACAGTTTGTGTAACTCTTTGTAGTCTTTTTCTTTTTTCTATAGATATAAGGACCCCCAGAGGAATCTCTGAGATTGCTTCGGTGCATTTGTAACCCAGCAGCTATGAGGAACCCATAGAGCCTTCTGAGACAGCGTTGTGCAGATTCTTCGCTCATGAACAATTTATTTCATAGGACACCCGTTTTGGAGGTACTTGTCATCACTCTGACTACATAATGTGAAAGGTTGCCAAGAGTTCTTTGCTGCTTTTCAGATTCACTTGTCATGAACAAAATATGTGATTAAGTTCCATTTTCTGTAAAAGGAGCTCTGATTCTCTACTTGGGAACATAAAGGGAGTAAAAGGGTATCAGGTCTTAATTATTCCTTGCCTTTTTAATCCCCAACATCTGGAATTATATGAGCACAATGAATATTTAGGTTAAATTGGGTAGTATTGTCACATTTTTAAAGGCACTATTTTAATTTTTAAAGGAGTATTAGTGTTTTTCTACAGAATGCAACAATGTAAAGCAACTTTCATAGATATATTATTATCCCAATGATTCAGCAGATAATTTTCAGCAGGTAATTTTTAGTTTTCATAATTTAAACATGGTTGTAGTAGATTGCATTTTCCAAAGATGGCTGCAACAATATTCACAGTCCCTTCTTACAATGTGACTTTGACACTCCTCCCCCATCAGGAGGTAGAATCAACCTGCTGCTCTTGAAACTGGGTGGGTTTTTGTGACTATTTTGACCAGTAGATTATGGCAGAAGCCACTCTCTGTGACTTCTAAGTCTAAGTCATCACAGACTTCAACTGCATCACTTCAACTGCAATGTAGGCAACCCAGCTATCCTCAGACCTCCACGCTGTAAGGAAGCCCAAACTACCACATGCAAAGGGACCACATGAAAAGGCCTGAACTTACAAGAAGAGAGAGAGATGCCAAACAATTCCCAGATATTCTGCTCCCTTCCACCTCTGCTATTCTAGTTCCAGCCATTGTCTGACTGTAACCACATGAGAAACTTTGAGTAAGAACTGCCCAGCTGAGAGTCCTGCCAGAATCTCTGAGCCACAGAAACCATGAGAGATAATAAAATGACTGTTGTTCTCTTAAGCCACTACGTTCTTGTGTGATGAGTTATACAGAATTAGATAAACAGAACAGTGGTAGATAACTTTTAGAATTAGGTCTTACAATTTTAGAGCACTTTTAACATCATATACAGGCAGAAAAATGTCTTTTTTGCTTTGTAAGTTAGTCATTATTTAAAAAACAATATTACTATTGAGTAGACCTTGCCATAAGTGGATCCATAATCAATAAACAAATACTTATGGTACAGCCGAGGCATCTTTCTGTCTCCTGTTCTGCATGTGACAACCAATAGGGATGCATCCCAAGTAAGTGCTCTATAAATAATTGCTCTATAAATAAGTTGAATTAATATTTTCCACGAAATAATTTTATTTTAACTACATATGGTAAAAAGACTTTAATATATTGTAGTATTCATTATCACATGGAAACAGAGTCAATCAAACATAAATTTAATTTTATCATGGTGCCTTTAAGTCATATTGTGAAGGTTATAGGAACTGGTTACTTCCATAATGAGTGACCCAAGACTGCTGGTCCTAATGGTGAGGTAGCCTAGACTCACTTACCACTTTTCAACCTGTGGCCCTAGTCAGGTTTCCACATGTAATCTGGTTACTTCCATGTCCCAGAAAGAAAAAAATCAGATATCCAATCTCATTAAACAGGAATGGATTTAACTGGCTGTTGATATATTCCAAAGATATTCTATGTATGTTTAGGTTTCCTAGGTTGTTTGAAACTGTTGAAAAATTACCTAATAAATAGAGCTTTACTGTCCTGTTAATGTCTATTTACTTGCTTCATGGCACTATTGAAATTCTACTCTAAGATTCTTCAGCCAATAGCTGTCCAGTTTATGATTGGACATATTAAGTTAGTGAAAGTAATTAAGCATTCCATCCTTTGAGTTTGATAACCTTAGTACTTCCCAAAGCTCCTCATATGGCACACACGAATTCTCCTTATTATCTTCATTAGTTCCAAGGCCCAGGTCCTATCTTATTAGATCCTTAGAGACTCTGACTCCCTCAGCATGCCTAGAGGGGCTTGGTAATAAACCTCAAAAGTGCTAAGAATGAACATCCTATGGGGCAATCTGACCACTAACAGGTGGGAGAGGGGAAAAAGCTGCCCCCGTCTATCTTAGCCTCAAGATGTCACGTATGACTAGCAACCGACCATGTTTTTGTAGTGCTATGCCCCAAATAAACAAAGTATATGGGTCTAGGAACCAAGTGGTGGAAATAGGAGACAATTAGTGCCTGTCACCATCATTCTCAGAGACCCACTTGTACAACTGGTGCATCCCATTCCTGTAGTTAGGAGTCCAGTTCCCAGGAAGGATACTTCCACAAGAGGACACAGCAATGGCTGTATTGATGCATGAGTTGAGACTACCACCTGGCCATTTTTTACACGTCATACCAATGAATCGGTAGAAAAAGGCAGGAAATTCTGTATTGGTTGGGATAATAAATTCTGATTAACATGAAGAAACAGGTTGCTACTACACAACAGGAGCAGAACAAATTGTGTCTGGAACCCAGAATATTCACTAGGGGAACTCTTGCTTCCATGCCCAATGATAACCGTGAATGGGTCATTGAAGGCCCCTGAAATGGAAGGTTTGTGCCACTCTACCTGGCAAGCAAGCAAGACCAGCCAAACTATTGGCTGAGGGTGAGAAATTACAGGAAGAATAAAAAAGGAGGATGACAATAATTATTAGGGCCCCAGGTACAGTTACAGCAGTGAAGGGCTAGGGCTTGGTGGGCTAATCTTTAAGTCTTTTTTTAAATTTAATTTACTTTTTTTCTTATTAGTCATCCATTTTATACACATCAGTGTATACATGTCAATCCCAATCTCCCAATTCATCCCACCCCCACCCCCTGCTGCGTTCCCCCCTTGGTGTCCATACATTTGTTCTCTACACCTGTGTCTCAATTTCTGCTCTGCAAACCGGTTCATCTCTATCATTTTCTAGGTTCCACATATATGCGTTAATATACGATATTTGTTTTTCTCTTTCTGACTTACTTCACTCTGTATGACAGTCTCTAGATTTTAAGAGGTTGACACTAGCCACTATCTTCCTAGAATGTTCTTGCACCTCTCATTTTAGGAAGAAGTAAGAACATCTAGCTCTTATATGGAATATGGATATAATAAAGGGTGAAAATGCATCTGAGTGGCTCAAGTAGTAAATTATATCAAGTAGTGGATTATGTTGGATCCAGTGCCTCCACATTTTTACTTTGAAAAGCCTGTTCCCTGGGCCTTGGGTACTTGCTCAATGGAGAGCCCCCATCACTGTCACCATTGTCTTATCTCTTAAGATTTCCAACTCTTTCCTCTTTCCACTGGGTCTGGGCTTCAGCAGGATTTCATTGTATCATCTACTGCAAAAAGAGTTCCAGCAGCTCCAGAGCCCAAGGTCAAAGCAACCAGGTCTATGGAGTCTCTGGGCTCCTTAGTGGCTGCCCGGAGGGCTTGGTAAACTCAGTTTGGAAATGCAGGACACTTAATGGTTTTGTAGAACAATTATTTTTTTAATTGAAGTATAGTAGATTTACTATGTAAATATTTACTATATCTACTATAGTAGATTTACTATGTTGTGCAGATGTACAGTCTCTGCTGCACAGCAAAGTGACTCAGTTATACACATTCTTTTCTTCATATTCTTTTCCATTATGGTTTATCACAGGATATTGAATATAGTTCCCTGTGCTATCCAGTAGGACCTTGTTGTTTATCCATTCTATATGTAATGGTTTGCATCCAACCCCAATCTCCCAGTCCACCTCTCTACCTCCCCCCTCCCTTAGCAAACCACAAGCCTGATCTCTATGTCTGCGAATCTGTGAACAATTTTTAATCCAATACAGACAAGAGATGGGAAGGAGTCACAGGTAAGTCCATCTTTCTCTCCCCTACTGATTGTTCTATGTATCTCTCTAAAGACATCCCATATGACTGAGCAACTGGCTGGGTTTTTTTGTGAGGCTCTAGATGGCTTGGTAAGCTTTCCCTCTTTCCCTGCCTCTCTTCTCATTTTCCATAACTCTTGTTGCCCAGAGATTGCATCACTCAATAAAACATTAACATGTTTTCTAGGGACTTATGCTAAGACAGTTGCTCATCTCTGAATAAATTCTAGACTGCTAATGTCCTTGGTGTGAGGTGCATAGAATAGATTTGCTATATCACCTCCCGCATTCTGGAGAATATACATCTAGTAATAAAATCTCAAATCATAAAACCTTTATTATCTATCTCATAATGACCTCTTATTCAGCTTTGCTAAAATGATGATTCTTATTAATTTTCACATATGCTAATATATTCCTATTCATCATAATTTGCAAATTTATCATAGTTGACTTTCATATTAAGTTTTATCCACTGTTCTAGTCTGCTGAGTCTCTCTAGAATTTGATCTTCCAAACGTTTAGGTTTCTCTCCCCAAACAATGTAAACCAAACATGCAAACAATATGCAAACACACAAGCTGACATTCTTTGCCAAATCATTAATAAAACCTTGGACAAGACAGAACTGAATACAGTCTCCTGTGGCATGCCACTATAGACTACTTACAGATAGATATTGATTGCTGTTAAGCTGCACACATCGATTGCAGTGATTCAATCATTTATGAATCCACCTAGGTGAATCCACCTATTATCTATTTTATCTTTGAGGATTCTTACTTTATAGTATGTTTCCATGACACAGTCTATATCTTTAAAAAAGAGTTTTTGTTAACTTTTTCTATTCAATATAAAAAAGCACTTGAGAATTCAATTATGACCGATGATGTTCTTTTAAAGCCAAATGAATCCCTTTGGAAAACTTGAGGAATAATAAAAATGTCCCTGATCAATTTAGTAGCACATATCAAGTGCCTTAAGATGCACACAGCTCTTGGTCCAGTGATTCTACTTCTAAAAATTTGTCCTAAAGAAATAAACATAAATGTGCGTGAAACATACATGTGTAGGTTTTTATAGAAGCAAAACTGAAGATAATTTTAGATATTAAAATTGGATACAACAATAGAGTTTCAATTAAATGAAGTAAGGCAAATCTGAGAGTTGGAATAAAATTTACTCATTAAAAATAGTTCTAAGGCTATTTAGTGACATGGAAAAATATTTGTATTAAGTGAACAAGCAGCTAGATCTCTTTCTGCTACCCTTTAGCTATAATCTGTTGGGTGGAAGCAACAGAAATCTTTGATTAGGAAGAGATCAAAGAGCCAAATGTATCATTCTGTGGGCTAAGCATAGCGTCTTGCTTCTACCAAATGTCCCCTGCCCACAGAAGAGTTGAATCAGCTACAATTAGGATATGTGTTGCAATATATAAACACACAGTGGGGAATATACAACTAACAAAATAAGAATTAGAACTAAACCAGAATTATCACCACAATTACGGAACGAAACATTTTCTGCCTTGATTTTCAAGAGAAATAGTGTAAAAAGGGAGAGAAGTTTTGCCTTTAGACCCAATTGTTTCTATAGCCTAGGTATGCCCTGCCTGCACTGAAGCATGAAGCTTGAACAGCCCCTGAGCTTTTTTTTCTTTGAGGTTAGTTACATGAGGATTATTTAAGGGTACTCTGGGGTCGTAAAGTTGTTCAAAACTAAGACATTAATTGCCATACTGCAAAGAGTTGTGCTTGGATAGACAGACCTGAGCCATGAAGCAGCCAAATGGCAACTTTAAAGCAGCGCCTACAGAATATGGGATTTGCCATGTAATGAACTACAGGCAAAGGACTTCTCACCTAGTCAGAGAGTTGTTTTCTCTCTCTCTTTCCTACACACACACACATATATGCACACGCACACACACACGCAAAGAGCGATGGGAGAATTTTTCACATATTAAGGTATGGAGAAGTCATTCTGGCTTATACATGATTTGACTTGAATTTAGGCTAACCAAAACAGCCTGTTCATGGCCTATTAAACATGCATTGTACAACTGCTTCAACCATTAAAAATCAAAATCAAAATGGAGTAACCATGGTTCGGGCATTCAAAACGGAGCTGGGTGGTCATTGTGGATGTGGTTTCAGACATGTTCCTGTATTAATGAGAACTTGAATCTTCTGAACTGTATCAGACTCAAGGACACCACCAGCTGTTCTCAAAACGCTATCTGCTAGCTGACAGCTGCAATGCTACAGTCCCAAGATCTCCCCCTGTAACTATGCAACCATTTCAGACTCCAAACAATCCTTACTTAACAAGCACCCTTACTTCCTGCCAGCTCAAATCCTAATTCACGCCAAACAGTTTATGTAATTTTGTGGGTTTTGCCTTTATAAGCTTCCCCTATTTTGTAGTCCTGTGGAACACAGTTCAAGTACTTCTTGAATCTGTGTCTCCCAGGCTATAGTCCTCAGTTTGGCTCAGATAAAACTCTTTTCTATTCTTATTATAGATTGCTTTATTGATTATTACCCATCAACAACAGAGAGACACAGAGAGAGATGGGGGGACACACAAACAGGAAATAGAACATTGGAGTGTTTTTAGGGAGAGTGCCTATTTTAAAATAAATTTCCATCCTCTAAGAGCTCAAAGCTAAGTCACAGTTAAATGAACCCTTTTGGTGAGGCACTAGCCCCATTTTCTTTCTTCAACCGTATGCCTGTATATATACAGCATCCCATAACCTTCCCTTTCCGGATCACTTTTCTCTTGTACTGCATTCTGACCTTGTATTCAGGCATTCTGATTCTGGCACGCACCTTAGTAAAAACCAAAATAAAGGCTCAACTCATTGGTATTAAATTATAATGACTGGCAAAGCTTTGTATTTTTGTTTTTCTTTTTGTACTTTTATTGATATTTACAAGTATACAAATCAAAAAGGTACGGCTCAATGTTTTTTTCCCAAATTGAACACATATATGTAATGAGAATTCAGATCAAGAAATAGGACATTACCAGCCTCTAGAAGCTCCCACTTATCCACTTCCAGTAATTAATCCATCTCCACAGAGTAACCACTTTTCTGACCTCTAACATCCGTGATTACTTTGACTTCTTTTTAAACTTCATACATATGAAACCATAGAGTATATTCTCTTTTTTGTCTAGCTTCTCCCACTCGACATTATGTTTGTGAGATTCACCAATATTGTAATAGTTGCAGTTCATGCTCATTGTTATATTTTCCATTGTGGAATAAACCAATTCTACTGATAACTATTTAAGTAGTTTTCATTTGGTGCTCTTACAAGTAGTGCTATTGGAACATCTTAGTTCTGTGAGCATATATAAATATTGCTGTTGGTTGTACATCTACGAAAGCAATTGAGTATCAAAGAATAGGCATATGTTTAGCTTAAGTAAATACTGGACTGGCAGAGTTTAAGATATTACTTTCTCTGTTGTAATCACATTTTAATAAGAGTTAAGAAATCTTAAGCCATAAAAGTAATTCTCTAATTGTGGAATGAAATTGCCAAGGAGATATTCTGAGCGTCAAAGAAACTTCCTAAATTACATGTGGACCTTCTAAAGCCAGCTGAGCTTTGCAGACAACTGATTTTTATGTTGGAGCAAACAGAGATCATAAAAATATTTTTGCTAGTTTATATTAATAAAAAATTGTTTCCCTTCTGAAACCAATTATACAATTCTTAGAAGGTCTTAACCAGATTTGTCACAAGTCTAATAGAGTAGACATTTCTGGTAAAATTGTTTGTTTGAAATCCATATATTTTTGTGTTTTCATTTAAGACAGCTTTTGTTTAAAATTATACAAAAATATGTAAGTTAATATAATACTAAAGAAACATTAGTGCTTCAGAAGCAAAAGTTTCTCTGAAGTGACAAAACATTTAAGGGAAAGATTTGAAGTAAAAAAAAAAAGTTTTCAAAATGTTTTATACATTTTATAAGAAAACCCTTTACTCTTGAAATGAATAGTACAAAGATATTTGCTAAACTAGGGCCCTCGTCATTCAGAAACATTTTATTTAGTAGGAGGTTAAAAATCAAAACAGAAATGGAAAGTGGATATATACACATGTATTTTTACAATAAAAAATAGAGTTTCTCAAGATTAGACACTTTGGTGTTCACTTGTTTGTGCCTCTCTTACATGAAGAGTGTGTTATTATCTGATATATTCAAATTAGTCTCAACCTGCCCCATGCAAAACATTATGAGCTCCTAAAGGGTGAAGAATGTCTTATGCCTCTTTTTATCCAAGGACCTAGCCCAGTGCCTGACATAAATCAGGACCTTGCTATATATTCATTAAACTGAGTCTTTTAAAGTAGGTTACACATCAAACTCTCTGACAATACAATCCTTCATATATGGAACGGAACACATGCAATTATTCTCTGTTTATTATATGGAACAAGTCTGAGCTTTGGTGATAAACCTGAATTTGAATCCATGAGCATATAAACTGTCTAGGCCTTGTGTTTCTTACATGAAATTGGGATAATAATAGCTATCTCAGAGGTTGTAGGAAATGTGATCATATAGATAAATTGCTCAGTGATAGTAATGTGGAGAGTAGAAATTCACTAAATATTAATTCTCTTCACCTCACAACATTGACATTTTAGTAGGTGGAGTTTTCCTTGTTCAAAACATTCTTTACAATTAGGAATCTTAGAGTTGAGTGAGAAAGAGAATCTAGAAGAGTTCCACTTCACACAAGTCCGATGATGTTTGCCTACTAAAGCTTCTGGCTATCTGGAGATGTAAAAAAAAAAAAACAAAAAAAACGGAAAAGGGAGAGGAAAGGGACAGATGCCAATATTTATAAAGACGACTAGGACTCTAGAAGAAGAGTTGGTTTTCCCATACTCAGTTGTAAAACTAAATGAACATCCTAAGTGCTGCTCTTTCTTTTACTTACACAGCCCAATTGTAAATGGTAAACAGCTAGTTATAAGGTAAAGAACATGGGCTTTGAAGTTTGAGAGATGTAGCATTTACTATATTGATTAAATATAGGTAATTGGATTAATTTCTCCAAATTTCTCAGTTTCTGTTTGTAAAATGGAAATAATAAAACTCAAGGTTATCAGCATTAAATAAGATGACACAGAAATTCTTAAAGTGTCTGTCTCACAAGAGATTAAAAAAAATTAGTTCTCCTCTTTTATTTTTCTTTTCTTTCTCCTTTTGACTTTAGAAGCTAATGACTCAGAGCACTCCCAAGAAAAAGAAAATGGAAAGAAGCCAAAAGGTATTGCGCTAATTGAATGGCTATCCCAACCCACCCCCAAAATCACAGTGTTCATAATATTTTACTATTATTTATCAAGTCAGGAAAAGATGGAAACACTATACATGCATGTGTTCTGCCATTTTGCATTTCTTAATTTCCCAGGGAAACTTTTCTATTAGTTAAATAGCAATATTCATTTGTTATCAAGACCCTTAAGAAGTAACGATTAACTAATCTTTAAATCTGAATCTTGAGAAGAATGTGTTTTCACAGTGTTAGCTTTTCCTCCTCTCAGACCCCTTCTCTTCCTACAACTTGCATTGCCCTGAGAAAATGGATGACAGCTTTTTATCAGGAAAACCTTCCTAAATTAAAAAAATCCTGACCATAGGTTTTTAATCATTTGATATTAAAAAAAAAAGTATAGGATTACTGACTTCGCAGTGTGGCCTTGGAATGCTAAGCAAAATATGGATGTACTGGTTGTAAATGTTTATATATTGTACAGTACCTTTATATATACACTTGAGGTTCTGATTAGAGAAAGAGATCTGTAAATCACTTGTTATTTTTTACATAGATATTTAAAAAAGCAAAACAAAAAAAATCAAAGAAAAAAAAGTATAGGATATAACTTTTGCTAACCTTCCTCTAAGTAAAACTTCTCTTTAATGCTGCTGACTTGACATTTACTTGCATATTTTGCCCATGAAAATCATAGATTCAAACATGGGGCACAAATATTATTTTTTCTGGTTGTAACAGCACTTCCCATTTTAGGGGGTGAGGGAGGAGGAGGGGGAAATGTTTTCCTAACCGTGAGGGTGGAATTGGAGTGGCTGTCTTCTCAAAGACTTCACCTGGCTGGTCACAATGATGGGCTAGCAAAGGTTCTTGATCAAAGCTGGACCAGTTAGAGCTCTTGGGATTTTGGCCAAAGGATGCAGGTCTCAGTCCCTTTGGGGGGCAAAATTGGGAAGTAATGTTTTGGACCATCCCTATTTTTCTCTTTTTTCCTTCTTTCCTCAC